AGCCGGTGCGTTGCCACGTCGAACGGGCCGGCTCTCTCTCTCTCTCTCTCTCTTCTCTCTCTCTCTCTCTCTCTCTCTCTCTTCTCTCTCTCTCTCTCTCTTCTCTCTCTCTCTCTTTCTCTCTCTCTCTCTCCCGCCCTGAGCTGGATCCTCCCAGTCGGTATCAGTAAGGTCTTCAGCCAACAGGGGTGTGAGTGCACGTGTGAGTGGGTTGCGTGTGGTGTGTGGGAGAGTGTTGGCTCTGGACACTACCATCCAGAAGGCTGCCCATCCCCCACTTCATAAGACCTTTGCCAAGCTTACTGTCTAGAACAGAAAGCATGCTACCCGAATGGGTGCGTCCGGTATAACAGTTTTGTAGGGGCATTCCAACATTTTTCCAAACGAAAAACAAGAAAAGCAAAGCCAAAACCCGTAGGGCCTTTTCCCAGAACCCCCCCCCCCCCCCCGTAGGGCCGGAGGTCTGCATTCCCTGCCCCCCCAGGGTAGACAATCTGCAGGGTTAACCACGGCCCCCACGGTTCCGTTGGTCTGGTGACAGAATGGGGTTTCGCACCCTACCGGGATAGTTGGCATGCTGGAATTCCAGAGGGGCATTACAGGACAAGTCGAGGCAGAGGAAATTGCTCGAAACGGAGGTGCCATGCCCTGACCGGAGTCGAAGCCGGATTACTCAAGAGGGTGGTGAGCGCAGCGGAGTGGTCCTTTTCGACGTGCGCAGAAATCGCTTGCTGCGTGACTTCGTCGATCCCCCAATTTCGAGAGGTGAGATGGAGTTTCGCTCCGCTTTCTTTCTCCCTTCATTCTCCCTCGCCTATAGCAAGCCCTAACGCGTCACCTCTGAAGTGAAGGATTCTCTCTCGTTGTGTGCTTTCAATTGCCAATCAAGAGTTCTCTGAAACCCTAGCCACGGCTACGTGATCTGAACTGTCTAGAGTAGATTCCTTTTCTTTCGCGCGACTACGTGGCGGTGAAAAAGGAGTCGGGATCTCGCTGTCGTGGCGTTCCATCTGCCGCGTAGTAGGTCACCAACGCAACCATGCCATGTCCGGTTGGGAGGCATATATCTTATCTTAAACTCAGTTCTTGGATGGAAAATGATGACTATGGGGGCCTCCATTCATCATATTCATGGAGGCACTAATTGCTTGCTTCTCTACAAAATCTCTCTTGTTTAGTTCGTAGGAATTCTCTCTGCCTCACGTTTATCCTCAAGGTCTTGAACGCATTCCTCTTCTCTTTTTTCCTCTTTTTTCGGTTCTTGTCTCCTTGTGTGTGTGCGTGTGTGTGTGTGTGTGTGTGCGTGTGTGTGTGTGTGTGTGTGCGTGTGTGTGAGAGAGAGAGAGAGAGAGAGAGAGAGAGAGAGAGAGAGAGAGAGAGAGAGAGAG